TTGTCGAGCAGAGCTTATCATATGGGTGATTGTCCGTCGTCGTCGTCGTTCGTGTCAATGTTTTACTTTTCCGACTTCTTCTTGAAAACTACAAGACTGAATGCTTTGATACTTGATGTATGTGTACCTCAGGTAGACCACTTGTAGATTTGTTCATTTCATGATGTTTCCTTTAATTCTCTAATTTTGGTGAATATTTTTTGTTATTTTTGGAAAAAAGTGATATTTTCGACTTCTTGTTAAAAACCGCAAGTTCGATTGCTTTGATATTACATATATAGGTACTACATGTGGACCTCTCTCGGATTTGTTCATTTTGTAATGATATCTTTAATTCTCTAATTTTGATGAATATTTTTGGTAAAACGTGATATTTTCGACATCTTGTTAAAAAGCACAAGTCCTATTGCTTTGATATTACCTATATAGATACTACATGTGGATCTCTTGCGGATTTGTTCATTTTGTAATGATATCTTTAATTTTCTAATTTTGATGAATATTTTTGTCATTTTTGGTAAAACGTGATATTTTCGACTTCTTGTTAAAAAGCGCAAGTCCGATTGCTTTGATATTACATATATAGGTACTACATGTGGATCTCTCGCGGATTTGTTCATTTTGTAATGCTATCTTTAATTATCTAATTTTGATGAATATTTTTGTCATTTTTGGTAAAACGTGATATTTTCAACTTCTTGTTGAAAACCGCAAGTCTGATTGCTTTTATGTTCTACATATAGGTACCTCATGTTAACCTCTCTCAGATTTGTTCATTTCGTGATGATATCTTCAATTCTCTAATTTGTATGAATATTTTTGTCATTTTCGGTAAAAAGTGATATTTTCAAGTCTGATTGCTTTGGGTTTATACATATTGTTAATTTTCTAATGATATCTTCAGTTATTTAATTGAAATGTGCATTGCTAACTGTGGAGCTATCTCAGCCGAGAGATTGCTTGTTCTGTCTGCTTATCAGGCTCACAGTATTCGTATTTAAAAGTCATTCATTTTAATGTGATCTAAAGCTGTTAGTCTCGTGTCTGTTCCTATATCCTTCTTTGTTATAAGGGCAAATATTAACAGTTTCCACGAGACAGACAATATATAATTACATGTGACGTGCTGTCCCTAATTTTCGGGTCTGCAAATGGATCTGGCCTATTGACATGAAATGATGATGATCAACCGCGGTCTTAAAGTCATATTGCGATTTCAGTTTCAAATACCCCGAGAAGGTGTGCTATGTCTTTCAATTAATGAGGTGTTCGTATGCAAAGGACTCCCCTTTCTCCCGATTTGTAGGGAACCATCACATATAGAGGGAATATGATCGCATGTATGTTATTATCACTTGTACGCCAGCTGGCTGTAACCATAATGGTCTTATCCAATCTGATTAAAATAAGATCCTTGTGGGGATATGTTTATATTTCATTCATTTTATTAAAATTATTGTTTGTTTATTGTTTTATTTGTTAATATATTTGTTTTCATGCCTTTCTACGAGTTTTTTTTTTTTCGTTCGCGAAATCCCCACTGGTATGTACGGCGGAATTAGAAAAAACCACAAAATCAAAATCAAAGTAAAATAATGAAATAAAAAGGCATTAATAACAAAAGTAATAAAAAATAAAATTAAAATAAATGTATAGCCAAAATAATTAAAGCCCGTACACTACATCAGATTTTAATCAGATTGGGTCTTATCTTGAACCTCGTATCCAATTACGAATGTGTTGATCCTGTAAATGTGAACTCTGCAGAGTGAATATTTGCCGTAACAGTATGTTTGTATATTATATCTTTACATGTTCGTGATGGAGTCCTTCGTAACGTTGTTTATCAGTATATGGAAGGTAATACGTGTTATACAATGCAGATAATATAGCTCCAGAAACTTTGAAAAATAATTACACAGTTACCTAGATAGTGGAACTGGATTGCACCTATAAGTTAATATTTGTTTAAATTACAATGGAAACATATGCGAATAAATATTCTTCAGGGCCTTTAAAATTGTTAAAATATCATAGAATACGGAAGTAAAATTGCATTTTCTGCAATCATCATGGCATTGATTGAAATTGTTAGTGACGTCACTTGTTGATATAGTTATTCATAATTACTCTGACAGTTGTCATATTACTTTCCTGGACACTGAATACATATGCAACAATCAGTGTGTGGCTTGTTCATTATTGTTCTATTATTGTTGTGATGCAAAGGGCAGTTCATTAATGATAAAACGAGTTAACACATATCCTTGTCTTATACTGAATCGGTGCAGTCATTCAATGTCTTAACACGTGCATTAATCGTGACCCATAATACCACCCGGCAACAACATTCACCACGACCTTTGACGCTCTGCAGTGAAAATGCTTCTGAAAAATCTACAAAGACACAGTAAGATTTACTCTTTTTTCACAAGTATTTCAGACGACAGATTGTAAGATGAAAACATTATCAATTTGTTGAATAACCTTTTCTAAAAAATAGCTTGAGCCTAGTCAATTCCCCCAGGGCATCCGCCGACGAATTGACGCGCCTTTTTAAAGATGCAACCAGGAGGAGACTAATTAATTTTTAATAGTGTTGTTTGGTGCTGCATGTTGATAACTTGGATTAAATACCTTGTCGCAAACTAAAAATGTTGCCTTTAGCAGCTCGCCAACAGTGCGTTCGACGAAAAATACTATTACCCATGTGCAGTGAGTGCACGTGCGTATCAGAAAACGTCTGTGTTTTATCGAACGAACACTTAATGCTACGTGAATGACGCTTTAAAGCCTCACTTGCGCACGCGCGGGAATTGAGTCCCAAGCGACGATAACAACACACGCTAAAATCGCAAAGGCTCATGGGTAGACGCGTGTTTGTGAACAATGACACGCTATGGCCATCTGACGCATGCGCAGGTGACGACTCCCCGCTTTAAGTTTATGATAAATCATAATGCAATCAACAACCAGTATCAAAGAACACTATTATAAATAATATATTCTCATCCATATTGCTTAGCATGGATGTGAATATTTCGCTACAAATACATAAATACCCCTATAACTATATGATGATTCGGCGAACCATATTTGAACAAAGGAATGACAATTGCTGCAGAAAGCTTCTCTGGAAAAGAACTATTCTCTCACATACCATTAAAATAACATTTAAATATTGGAGTGTATAATTTCTGGATACTTGGAAATGACTTGAGCTGTTTGGCCATTGAGCTGTGCCGGTTTTGTTTTTTTTATGCTGAGGTGTATTTTATCAGAGGTACATTACCTGGGGTTTGCAACGCGCATCGTACTGTATTCAAGTCTCATCTCATAGATAGCGAGACTGGTGCTACGACCTTCTGATATGACATAGGCGGCTTGTAATAAAATAAAACATGTATTACCACATTCATAGTGAAAAAATGTAATACATCGAAAATGTACAGAAAATATAGTTATCGTAATACGTCATATCTTGAGCAGCTATTTTGATCCACCTGGACATCCCAGTATCATAGTTACCTCGGGCATGCGCATTCGAATTTTTATGAGTTGGAACGCTTATGCGAGAGCGAGATTGAAACGGGATCTTTGTATAATGTCACCATAGTTGCAAACCCAAAGTAATGTATCTCTGATTGTGTCTATAGTGATATGATACTTTAGGGTTTAACTCAGCAATTGTACCTGGTATACTTGGTGGACACATGGTCCCTCTATAGAGGATGAAGGAACTGTACTGGACAATAGGACTTCAAAATCGACTGCTAAATGAAATTATCGATAAGCGCTTTCTTTGCCCTTCACTCGAAACGTATGCATACTATCCACATTTTCCCGTGATATATGTTCTCTGAATATCGCACAGACAATTAAAGCGCGGTAGTCGTCACGCCACGCAAAGACGCGACTTTGACTGTTGCACAGATCAACGAGTACAAACCGAGACGTTACCAAGCTATAATTAGGTATTTTCATGTGATTGGAAGGTATCGAAGAAGTCACCGGCGGTAATTAGTGCAAATTGTGCCCCGATACATGTGATTTCCTTTAGAAGAGCGCATTGGATTGTGGGAAATCAATGTTTATCAACACAACTGTCACACATGCGCAGCGCGACGACCATAGCCGTTTAAATTTGTGTTGTTATTTTCTCATCCTTGCAGTTTATTTTCTAAGCGAACACCCCCACATCGGCGCGTTGTATCCGGGTGGTATTGCCCGCCCTTTGCTCCAACACTATATAATGTGCAAATGCTTCCAGGCGTTCGTACATTATATATCCCCATTCGATGTTTAGGAATAATACACCGATATTAGTAGTCTTAGTCGTATCCTCCAGTGACGGAGCACTTCCATGACGTCAGCATGATGCACATTTGTGAAAGCAATGCCGTTTAGATATACACTTGTGTTTAGTTTTGTTGTCGTTCGTCGTCTAGACTATAGTAAGATTACTCAAAAACTTTATCTCCACTGAAGATCAACACGGAATATTGGCGCTCTCGTTTCACTCATTCATTTGCGTCATGGAAACGATTGAAAGCAGGGTTATGTTACACAGAACCGTAATGATGGAGTCGCGTGCCTTGAATTAAAGAAAAATTGTAAGAGTGGGTTGTATAGTTTTAACATCCACTGAATAAAATAGTAAACAGCGATTGATTGCGCTGGTAATGACAATATTAAAAAAGTTAACACAGCTAAATGTCTACTAAAACATTTGACAAAATCTAGACTTTTGAAACACACGCCGTTTCTTAAAGCGGAGGGGTCGTCACCTGCGCACGCGCGGGAATTGAGTCCCAAGCGACGATAACAACGCACTCTAAAAACTCAAAGGCTCATGGGTAGACGTTTGTTTGTAAACAGCGACACGCTATGGTCGTCTGCCTGCATGCGCAGGTGACGACTCTCACACTTTAATATATATCTTCAAGAATATGACGTTCACTTTATACGTATATAATGTTTCACTGTGTTATTTATTTCAGTATATCTACAATATTCCCTGGGTGCCAGTGCCGCTGTTTTGCTGTTCGCTCTTTTTTTCGGGTGTGCTGTATGTTGGCACAAAAAACGTCAGAGGAAAGTATTGGATTCAGAAACCATTTACATTAATAAGAAGGCTATTTCGGGCCCAAGGGGAAGTGATACGCCACCTGTACGGCGACAGAGTGGAACACGTGATACAGTGATGTGCGGGGCAACAAAGGCAACTTCTGGACCCGAGTTGTTTTTATTCGATACTCTGCGCCAGATCAACGAACGTAGTGAGACACGTCGACTGTCGTCATTTGGATCATTGCCAAGCCCAGGAATCCCCCATAGTGCAAGTACATCGTCTATCAGTAGCAGCCAGTCATCACAGCCCTTCTCACCTTTAGATTTAGCCCCTCTGTCTCCCCAAGATACGAGCAACTACAGCACTGACTTCGAAACCGAAGATGGAACCGCGGACGAGAGCTCATCTCGTTTACGACCGAAACTAGATTTTAATATTCTCTATTCTCACGCAGAGTCGACCTTGGTGGTGACGGTTGTCAGGGTTCGCGATCTACCGGTAAAGACGGGGTCTACCTACGACACGTACGTGAAACTCTACCTACTGCCTCGGTTTCAGGACCCCCTGCGAACTGGTTTATGTCGTAAAACAACCGAGCCGGAATTTAATGAGCACTTCCAATTCCATGGCTTGCCCATGGTAGAAAGTGAAAAAGCCATCCTAAGATTTAAAGTTTATACTAAAGATTTTTGGAAGAAAAAGAAAAAATTCGTCGGTGAAGTCATATTTCCATGTATTGATGCTGATTTGAAGTCTGAAACTCCTTGTATGTATTCAAGCGAACTGAATCCGAACAGAAGCAAAGCAGTCAGAAAGGTAATGAAACGGATCATGAGCTAAGAAGGGCGCCCCCACTAGCCCCCACTAAATTCAACAATAAAATGTCCAACAGGCTGGATAAACAGCAAAAGACGAGACATTTCGGGTGAACACCCTGTTTTTGCACTGGCACAGCTCTCTGCAGTTTTGCGAGTACTTTTTATATGCTAATATCAGTCATTTCCTATAATGCAGAAGTACTTCCCCTCTCGACGCAGTTGGCGAGTAAATGTGTGCTTTGTAGATGTGACTTGTTTGGATACTTCAAATCAGTTCCGGCCAGTTTGTCATTTAAGCCATGAAGGCGCGACAATGTCATATAAATCATTATCGGATAATTATCGTCTAATAAAATCTAATGAAATGTTGGCAGAGATGTCTAGCTTAGACATTTTTAGACATTATTAGACGCCCAGACAGACCTCTCTAACTTAGACATTGTTAGACATTGTTAGAAGATATTATCGATAATATCGGAGAAAAACGAACCGTCCCAATAGTTGCCCAGACAGCCTGAGACCTGTCTAATTTAGACATTTTTAGACATTGTTAGACGATATTGTTAGACATTTTTAGCCATTGTTAGACGATATTATCGATAATATCGGAGAAAAACGAACTGTCCCAATAGTTGCCCAGACAGACCTGTCTAATTTAGACATTTTTAGACGATAATATCGGATAACGTTAAAAAGTGCAATGTCGCGCCTTCCTCATTTAAGCATTCCATCAAAAATTATGTGCCGACTAAAAATACAGACATTGTGCAAACATTTAGTGTTTGGTTTTAGCCTCTTTTCTCAAGTAACATGTGTTTTGTTTTCACAGCGGAAAGGTAAGAAGAGAAGTAAAGGTCACATGAATGTGGGTCACGGAGAACTCTTCATTCTGCTCCAATATCAAGCTGTTTCCAATAGGATGAAAATTTTAGTACGGAAAGCAGAAAACCTCGGAAAGGCGAATTGGATTCCAGGCAGTGCAGGTACATGAGTTGCTAAGGCAATGAATTCTGGTATATTGGAGCACTTGCAATATCCGGCACTGGATAAAGTCGCCAAAATCAATTCTAACACAATTTTCATTTTGTAATTCACTTTAGAACGGGTTACTTTATTTTAGTAGAGCTTCTAAATTCAATTTTAGTATTGTCGTGCACTGAACAAAAATCCAAAGCTAATGAGGCTTACAGAAAATATTATTAAGAGGGTTTCTGTAGATCATACAATTTAAAAGTGGAATTGCAATTTTAACACTCGGCGGTAGACTTGTTCCATATCCCATGGTTCGTTGCCCATCGACGCTCACCTATATGGAAATGTAGCAACCTCCTTTTTGGGGTGCTTTAGGTGCCAGTGGTTTTTCTGCAGCCCGTTGCAGACTGTGTGTTATCACAGCGTACGTGTGTTACGTAACTCATTTTTGCGTAGAAGGTCAATGCGCCAATGACCTGTAGAAATCGCACCTGATTCATGTGCGTATCATAGTCGACTACATGTTGCATTCAGCTACAAATCACCCACGTGGCGTATTCAGCATATTGTCTATACAATCACGTGATTGAAAGGCTTTGCTTCGAATCCAGGGTATCATTTTTATATATTGAGTATAAAGTTTTACTTGTCACTTGGGTGATGTGAGAACAATATCGTTCTTTTCTTAGCAGTTATCGGCTAAACAAAGAAATCAGCAAACGGTTATTGTTTGAAACAAGTACGTCCCCAGTAAATGCAGAACTGTGGAAAGTTAACAGACTGTTAAAACAACAGAGTCGAACTAAAAGTGTTATTAATATATGTAATCCCGCGAAATGTTCTGTCAACTTAAGAGGAAAATATCGTCGGATTATATACATGTATTTATCACATGCTTATTTTCAACATTCCAAAAAATAAAACGGCGGAGTGTTGAAAGTAGAACTATTGCTGAACACTGATTACAAAAATATCATTGCGCGCGCCTCGTATGCTAATATTAATTTTGGAATTTTTATATTAGACGAATGGCGAAATAATCAACAAGTTGTGAAAAAAAATACCCGAATTAATAAAACCCATTGTATTACAATAATGGTCCGGGGCTCATGCAGCTATTAATTCGTAATTCGTTCGGTGGGCAATTTACACGTGAAATGCCGGCGTTCCGCGCCTGAAGTCTGTTGAACCATGGAGGTCTTTTACTTCTATGGATCTAACGGACACTGCATCAAGAGAATGACATATACAAACCTAACTGAAACAATTTTCTTAGAATTAATGTTAATTTCAATATTATTTTAAGCAAGATGTTCGCAATAATAAAAAAATCATCAAAACAAGAAACAATCGTAATAATGTAAATATACATCACAGAAATGAAATGTCGTTTTCGGGCTTAAATTGTTTGTTTGCTAAACAACTGAATGAATGAATGTAGAAACCTTAAAAAACGAACAATTTAATTTAATTGTATATTGAAATATATCGTTATAATCGCAGGTATATGTACTACTACCGCTTATTAACAAGATACGGATTTAATTGTCTATTATCTGGCACTAGCTGAACAAAACAGAAAATATATGTTGTCGTGTAAATCTAAGTCCCTTTAACTGTTAATTATTGTTAATTATAAAGTTCTAGTGTGGACGTTCAACAAAAACAAAATTATATGTTGCCCGTAACTCGAAGTTCTGTTAACCGTTAGTTAAACATCGAGTTGCGTTTGGGTGTGGTACCGCAAACGTGGGCGTGGTTTATACAAAATATGGGCGTGGTAATTTTTGTAACTGGATGTCAGCCTGAGTACTTTAGAATCTTGATCATTAAAACGAAGTAGAGTGATAATAATTATAATCAAAATAAACAATATCCCACCATTTCAAATATTTTACTTTTTAATCTGGCTATATTCAAGTTACTGGTATTTGGATTTTTTGGTGTAAAAGCAGATACTGAGACTATACCCATGAACAATTACAGCTCTTCCAAAATCTCGGTCTGAGAACACGATTTTCGAGCCGAAGCCATGTTAGTCCTAATTATGTTTCATGCCTTGCTGTAGAAGCCCGGGAATATTTCACAAATAAAACGCTGTTTTAAGTTAAAGCGGGGGAGTCGTCACCTGCGCATGCGTCAGATGGCCATAGCGTGTCATTGTTTACAAACAAGCGTCTACCCATGAGCCTTTGCGTTTTTAGCGTGTGTTGTCATCGCTTGGGACTCAATTCCCGCGCGTGCGCAAGTGATGATCCTCCCGCTTTAATGTATTCACGAGTCGCATATTCAGCCATGGTACGATCTTGTGATTATTTTCAAACAATATTATGTGCGCATGTCTTGAAATCACCGATCATTGCTCAAAAATCCTGGGACAAAGAACGTCTAGAAGCGGTATCAGAGCTCGGTTGTCAAAGGATTAGTGTAATACTAATGATTATGTGCTGGCAGATATCATTACACCCACATACCCTCAGAACACTGCACGCGATATGCGCCTTGTCCGAGGCGTAGTTTTAGAGTCTTGTGGCGATTGTATTTCTACTGTGAGTGGGGGTGGTGAATTGTATTTTTCTTGTGTGGGTGCGTAGATCTAGATTTTGTGCAACAACCACTCATTGTTCATCAAAACGGCAACGTGGATCACAGTCCCTCAACACTGTACGAGGATGTTTAAGTTTACATTATTTCTCAGTACTTATTCACTGTTAAAATGCTGTACCATTACTTTCACCATCCTACTACAGCCAGATCTGAAGGCCTTTGCCGCATTCTGGCCATGCTGTGTGGCGCGTATCGCGTGGACGGGTTTCACGTTCTCTGCACGTTATAAGCTCGGTTATTAAGCATCCTTTATTGGGGATGCCCGGTGGCCGAGGGGAAGACGTGTAGTGGCGTGAAGCTAGGCGATTAGGTGCCGTACGCGAGCGCCGGTTCGAGTCACGCACGCAGTACGTATTTACTATAATTAGACATAGTCTTTACCTTGCCGTTTATTCGGTGTTATTTGCTTACTTTACTTCCTATGTCGACAGCAACTATGAGTTTAAGTTTACATCAGTTGGTTCGATGTCGCATTTTCAATTGCTCATGCTCTCCGAATAACTGATACGTATTATACATTTATGCGCTTTTGAGTAAATTTATTTATTTATTTATATGCAAAGTAAACCACTTGCCCGGTACATACTTCAGACAATTATTTATATTGCAATAAACATGGCACAGTATGTTTTCTTTGCCTGTAACGAAATAAAGGGGAAAGAATAAGTTAACTTGTCTGTCTGATGTCGTCGTCGTTCAGTTCAATGTTGAAAAAGTCCGGAACATACATTTTTGGGCATATTAATAAAAATATGTCTTCAAAATCGGCATTGGCTTAACATGGTCTGTACACGATACGAGAATGTCACTTCATAGGCTGTGCCATCAACACGGTTCTTGAAAATCATTATCATAAGTGGGAAATTATATGAGAGATGAACTGGAACCGGATATGGCCCTCCATGCACATCTACCTTCAGTTACTGAAACATTCTTTAAAAATTAACTCAAATATTTGCACTTATTCAAAACTAAGAGTTTGTCACTAACACGAGGCTGGTTCATTACGGGACTGTGCAAACTTTAGACTTATTTCTGTCCTCCCAATCCTCTCAAAAAATGTTGAGGGTACTGAGGAATAGAAAACTCTGGATGCAAGCATCACGCGAGCAGAATATCTTGCCTCTTTTAAACTTTGTTTGAAGAATTATTGAACTATTTTTAGTCCTACATTAGGAATTTTACTTAATAATAAATATAATAAATAAATAAATAAATAAATAAATAAATAAATAAATAAATAAATAAATAAATAAATAAATAAATAAATAAATAAATAAATAAATAAATAAATAAATAAATAAATAAATAAATAAATAAATAAATAAATAAATAAATAAATAAATAAATAAATAAATAAATAAATAAATAAATAAATAAATAAATTAAAACCCTCATTCTCAGTTTACCGCCACCATGACTTGTTGTGTATAAGTTGTAAAATGTATTTGTGATTATCAATGTTACTTGACTGACAAAGTCGCGTGAGTTGCGCCCTCCGCGATGCTCCAAACCTGTTCGGCCGACAAAGGTGCCCCTCACACCTACTTGTCAGGCTGCATTGTTACCGGTAGCTGATATTTTGGCTGATACATGTATTGTTATTACCCTAATTTGCCCTATATCATTACGTTGTTCAGGGACTTTTATAAAATAACGAAAACGTTAAACATTTCGACAGATTCTGATCCTATAATAACTGTTTTTGGACGTGGGCGGTCTTATTAGTGGGGCCAGCCCTAGTCCAAAAGCATGAGGCTGACGCGCCCCCTCCGGCCCAATTATTTAGTAAATGGGAAATAGAGTAATGCATTTATTTCTCCGTAATATGTTTTTTTTTTTCTTTCGTAATTGTTTTCTGTGATGTTTCCCCCGTCACGTCTTGCGTGACTTTTTAGTCTCAAGATTCTTTTTTTCCTGGGCACCGGTATGAGCTAGCCACGGGATATAACAACTCGTCGTGGTCCGATGTATGTTTGACATTTCAAACCTATACTAACTAGTGAAAAGGCGTGGGATGTGGAAATGAAACTGTAGTATTCTGCGACAGTACTTGCCAGTATTGGGTAAATTTGGCCCTCGGAAACAAAAAGATGCCGCTCGCCTACGCTGGAAATTCTCGTGATTATCGCACATGCTGAGAGGTAATATTAACAGCCGGGCGTTGAGTGTACATATGCAATGAATAATGTCAAATGCCCACTGTGAATTTTCATCGTTTAACTTAACACTGGTTATTACAGGCACGAAATGTCACTTCCGTGGCATTTTAAGGTTTTCGAGTTAATTTAACTTGATTATCGGGCAGCTTAATCAAATATTGCGAATATAATCAGTACGCAGAATATGATGGATACGAATAATACGTAGAATCGCGTTCAGTTCATTACGACCTGCGCACCGTTCGCGTTTGCTCTCGACAAGTATCGGAAAACAGTAAATATCAATTGTGGTAATTGTACAGATTAATGAAGCGTGTTGTAAATATTTTGGCAGGTCGGTGGCGTCAGGCAGACAACGGATGCCGTTGGGTCGGTTGAAAGTGTGACGTAGGGACACGCTCTATGCACCGCCACCAGCACTACAATAATACCAACAGATCGTTTATATAAATCGTGAAATTTCATGCATGGGAGCGTAAAGTTTAGCATAGTCCATTGTGTTCAGCATTTATCGTATATATTGACATACCACATGATGTTGATACCCTCGATCGCATGA